GTCATAATTAATTTGCTATTTTCACACTCCTGATTAATAAATTATACTGTTCTTGGCTCAGTTTGATCTTATTTAGATTGTATGCCATTTTTCTTATAATTTTTCCTAAGAAATTATGATTAGCAACAGTTTTTTTTTTTTTTTTTTGAGAAGAAAAGAAAATGAATCTATCTTTTGAATGCCTGGAAAAGAAAATAATAATCTGATGGGGAAAAAAGTCTTGCGTGAAACACATGTGGATCGAGTTTTTGGGTCTGCCTGAGGTGTGGTTTTGATGGGGAGGGTAAGGAAGAAAGATGATAGACAATTGTAAACAGTTCAAAAAGAGACCATGAAAAACTGATTATAAAAGTGAATTCATGAGAAAAATGTCTGAGAGCTGACATTTCAGGAAGGTGGTACCTGGCTAGAAGCCACATTTTCAAAGGTTAGAGAATGGCTACATTGTAGTGCTGGAGCTGTATGCCTGGCTGTGCTGTCTTCTGTACTGTTCTACTTCCCACTAAGGCAGTGTTCCCGTCTGTTCAGGAGTCTGACGGAGGGGGCCAGCACTGCCAGCACTGCCTAGGCAGGGGTTGGCTTTTCTGTCTGTCAGCATTATCATAAAGAAAGCCTTTTGGTCTTTTTAAAGTCTTAGGGTGATTATCTCTTGCATCCTATTTATTATAATTCTTTGCCATGTGCTGTGAGTGAGGTATCAGGCATTGGTTTGCTCCACAGTAGATGTGATGTCATCACCTGCTACAATTTGGAATGAAGGAGGCTCAGCTTCTAGGATATGACCAAGGTCTGTGTCTATAACTTTCAGTATGGCCTCACAATCTCTTCAGGGAAGAATTTCATAAAAATTACATGTTCAAATTGTGGGACACATTTGAGCCTCCTCTTGCATTAGGTGTCTGTTGGTGGTACCAGTTCTAGATCTTAAGCTCAGTCAGTGATACTGCTGTCATGGAATCTACTTGATGCTGTTTGTGAAGACCCTTGGTTCTTACACCACAGTGCCGATGCAGTGCTGTTTACAGTGTGGAATCTGTGTATGCCCTATGAGCTGAGGGCAGGTAGAGACTTGCCCAATTTGGCTGAGATATCCTTGGCTGCAGGGCTCTTGGCTTCTGGTAGTTGGAACAAGAAGGACTCATGGCCTACAGGCAGAGAATGGACACAATTGCTTCTTTCTGCCAGCCTGGGAGATGATTCCTATCCTGCCAGACCTGGCCCATTGCTATGGATGAGATCTTTCTCTGTCTCCAGGAAGGCTTTACCTGCCTGGAACCCATTACTTCCCCTGGAAGCACTGGTCCAGACAACACTGCACACTGATGCATCCTCTCTAAAGATAACAACTGTTAATTAGGGCTAGTTTACTGTCTCTGTAGACCCAGTAATGCAAGACGGTCTAGTTTGTTGCTATTATTGTTTGTTTTACACAGAGGTAAAAATTAAAGACTTAAAGATATCTTAAAAATTTGGCAACTCATTTCAGTTTTGAAATGTCCTGTATGAACTACAGATTAAGTTACTATAGGTTGTGCCTGACCTAGAGATCTAGCCTACAATGTATGCTGTTGACCACCTCCCATCCATGGGCTGGAATAGCACTGGGAGACTGTCTCAGTTACTTAATTACTTAGTTAAGACACCATGATCAATGCAGTTTATAAAAGAAAGTGCTTATAGGGGTTCATATTTCCGGAGGGTTACAGTCTATGGCCATCATGGCTGGGAACATGGCAACATGCAGGCATAGTGCTGGAGCAGTAGCTTACATCCTGATCCACAGACTCAGGCAAGAGAGAACTAACTAGGGAATGGTGTGGACTTTTGAGACTTCAGAACCCATCCCCAGTGGCACACCTTCTCCAACAAGATCACATCTCTTAATCCTTCCTGAACAGTTCAAACAACTGGGGACCAAACATTCAAATGCATGTGCCTATGGGGAGCATTCTTTTAAACCATCACACGGACTTAGGAAAACTCAGATGCAATATATGTAACCCAAAGCCAGTGCTTTGTTAAGTTCCAGCAATACCACTGAGCTGTCTTTTTCCACAGATGGTATACCAGTGTCAAACTTGTTCTAGGAGCACAAGAAGAGGTTAGCCTCTTACCCAACTCATAAGGCAGGCCTCCTCTGACTTCCCCACACTGTCCCAACCTAGCCCCTGCTCACCACTGATCTACCGGCCAGCTGGTACAACTGAGCATGAACTCATCCAGTCTTCAGGAAAACAAAACAAAACAAAAACAAAAAACACAAAGGCCTCTCTTAGTAGTAGATAATCCAAAAGAATATAGAACCAACACAGGGGCAGGTCCACCTGGACTGCAGTATTCTTGAAGATACCTTGGGAAGGGAGGAAAGATGCAAATTGTCCTGACATTGTGAAGGCACCACCCTGCTCAAAGAAATAGGGAACATCAATGTGTTTCAAGCCTCCAGCCCAAACTATAGAAGGGTTGATGTGAAGCCAATTGAGGTGTGGAGTGACTGGGAGTCAGTGAGCCTGGATGTTGATCTGGGAAAGTCAATAAATATGTTCTTATTTCTTCTTCTTCTTCTTTTTTTATTTTTTTATTTTTTTTGGTTTTTTCGAGACAGGGTTTCTCTGTGTAAATTTGCAGCCTGTCCTGGCACTTGCTCTGGAGACCAGGCTGGCCTGGAACTCACAGAGATCCACCTGCCTCTGCCTCCCGAGTGCTGGGATTAAAGGAGTGTGCCACTAACGCCCGGCTATGTTCTTATTTCTTTTAATTTATTATTGTTGCTGTTAATACTCGTGATGCTGGGCCTTATGCATGCTAGACAAACACTGCTGCCACTGAGCTCTGGCCCTCTGGTTTTCTTTCTTGTAGAGAATGGGGTTGGGTGTCTGGATTCTAAATTGTGTATCTCTGCTAATTCTTCATAGGAGAATAACCTGATGGTGAGGGGTATAGTAAATGTGTGTGGTTGCTGTTCCAACCATCAGCGAGCACAGAGCTTGGTGGAAACTTCTTCTGAGGCAGCATAGAAGGGAAGGAGAGGGCTGTGCCAGTGAAAGGAAGTCCTATTGAGTTAGAAAAAGTTCCAGGGTGAAACAGGATCCAGACCTCATGACAAAGTCAAAGGCTACCCATGGAGGTGCCTTAACAGTCATGAAGTTGTATGGGATTAGTACAGTTTTGTTAAGAACAGATTTTCATACAAATGGCAATGCACTTGAAGACACTGTGCAAAGGTTGTGAGGC